CACACACACCTCCTGTTTTGAATTAAAAACAATGCAGGTGTCTGTCGGCGAGGACACTAGGTGAGGCAGAGGCGGTCCAATAATGTTGTTTGTCTCAAGTGCTGACAGAGACAGCTGGTAGATGGTCTATGTGTGTGCTAACAGTATTAACTTGCACGTGACGACAACACCCACCAACAGATAACCTTTTACTCTGAACAATACCCTTTCTTTTATTCTTCAACAGTCTTCTTTATTACAACGTTGCTTTGCATCTTTTGAGGAGTTTAAAACCTTGCAGGCATTTCACTCCTGAAACATCAAAGATATTCGTGACCCAAATATCAATAACAAGTGCAGCTGTAGGGAACCAGATAGGATTAAATTCAGCAGCCCTGATATACTGTGTATCAGGATAATATTGGCCTGTTATTATGCACTGATCCAACCCTTCTCTCTTAATCTGTATACTTCACTGTGTAAAACTTATGTAAAACTACACTGACAAAGTAACTGCATCTTACTTGGATTGGTCACATCATGGGCAATACCTAAGGTCAATATCAGTGTGATCTGGTATATCAGATCAGTGCATCCATGTTTATTAGTAAATAGTTCAGGTTAATGGCCATGATGGTGGATCCTCCCTAACCATTACTTCAAAAAGACGACCTGATGTACATTATGAGATGATGGAGTGTCTCATAATGTCGCTTTTCTGTGTTTTACTATAGGTTATGGTTCAATTCAAGTGGTGTTATAGAGTGTTTAAACGTTTCATTTCATGCAGCACAAGCTCAAACATTCTGACTTTTACTCCCTCGTACGGGTCAAGATTATAAAATGATATATAAGCAAACTCAAATCTTTTGTTGGACCCTCCCTGGCTAGTAAACACCCACACCCATCATACTCCACACCCCCAGTTTGTAACACACTCTCTGTTACAGATTTGTGGCTTTCGAAACCAAGCTGTGATAACCCTCATGTCATAGAACACTCCCTCCATAACCACAGATTAAATTATACAATTGTTCTCACATGGTGAGTAATTCCCCAAGACAAGTCAATTGAACTGTGAACAATCAGTGGAGTGCTCCTTTAAATCCTGGCAGGAATAAAAATCTGAGGAGGAATGCTGCTTGAAAACCGCTCAATAGAAGCATTTGATGCCGACCCTTAAAAGCTCACAATAATTCCAACACCACCATACAGCATACTATCACGTTCTCTGAAAGAGGCATGTGGCTGACAGAAGCCGACACTCGCTGGTGAGCTGTTAAACGCAGGCTGAGAGCCAGAACATCTGGAAGTTCAGAAGCAGACGTCACTGCGTTGATACTTGGCATGGATGCTCTTCACCATACCTTATTCAGATAATGACACACATTTTAATAGACACCATCGTCCATTATTCATCTACAGGAACAGATGAGAGTTGAGAACAAAAACACATGGCAATGACATGTTGTCAATGGAAACTTGGCTCTCAGAGATTCCGAATGCAAATAGCGTAGTTTCATCTTCCTGGTATGCAAAAAAGCCGTGGCTGGCAGCAGAGTGAGTGGTGTGTGTCTGACTGAATGTGTGTGTGTATGTGTTTGAAGCCTCGGATAAAGGAGTCCGGAATCACTGGAAAGGCCATGTGGAAGAACTCAATTGTACTAGTTAAGCATTCATGAATACTAAACCAAACCTTGAATGGAACATTCCTATCTGAGCTCTCCTTCTTGTAAATGTCCTCCCAAATTTATAATAACGCAGCTGAATAAAGAGTAAAGAATACATACATTTAACTTTAATCAAAATACAAAAAAAATTATTTACGGTTTTTCCTCAAGTACAGATCTTTAGCACTCATTTCTACTCATAGAACTGATTGCATTTCTATTTTAAAGGTTATATATATATATGAGATTTTGAACATTAATATAGCAGCATACAACTAGTTTCTGTGTAAAGACATGTTGGAGTAACGGTGCCCTGAGCAGAGAATGAATTCACACCCCTTCTGGGTCTGTAGTAGTCTGTGCCTTGTATACTTCCCCAGTCCAGCCACGCATGCTTGTGATTCCCTCCACGTGCAACAGAGGAGAACGACTTAAACGGCTGTTTTCATCATCTATGTTGGTGAATTAAGGAATTATTTTATCATTTTCATAAGGTTGTCAGACACTTAACAATCTGAGCCTGTCAGTGGCAAAAACAAGCACTTTTAGAGGCCGTACTTTGACAGGCACATTTGTCCTCAAGGATTAGCTTCATTGCTGCGACTGCAGCCTTTTGTAGGTGTTTTACGATGATCTGTAATTCATTTTGTAAGGAGTACGGTCTAGACCTTCTCTATTTGAAAAGTGTCCTGAGATAACTTTTGTTATGAATTGGCGCTATACAAATAAAATTGAATTGAATTGAATTGAATT